TTTATCTCGCTTCTCTGGTCTAAGGGCATTTAAGTCTTTTCGCAGCTCCGTTATCCATCGTTAGCAACGAATATGGACGGAATGTCGTGGACGACAAAAGAGTTTTAGTCAATGACACCTAGGTGCGCTCGAATTTTTTAATGACCTATAGATAACTCCCATCTTTTATAATAACACACACATAAAACCCTCTTTTCCAAACCATGCGCCTTCCTTCCCCCACTCGATGACGACCCGGCCCCACCTCGGATCGTTCCCCCGCATCGCGCGCTCGTGCCAGATCGGTCAAAACGTGTTTTGGAAACTGTGATCGGCAATCCGGCCGGCTCGTAAACAAATCTCCTGCGCTGAGCAAGCACATCACAACACACGACAAATCCAGCACACGCTGCACGAGATTGCGAGACCGCATGCGTCGGAGATCATCGCGAGCAAGCTAACTTGAACACGGAAACAGAAACAAAAGCTTGACTCACCAGATCGACGTGAACACAACCTCGAAACAAAAAAAAAAGAAAGAAACACAGCCGTAGACGTGAAACACAGCACAAAACGTGCCCCGCGGGACACTGCTGATCGTGAACGCGTACGCCATCCACGGGAACCGGAGGTGTGGGAGAGCCTACTGAGTTCAAGCTGGCACCAGGCTAGGCTTGTCCACGCCAACTCCATCGATGCTCATCGCTGAAAATTATGAAAAAAAAGATAATAATGATCCGCCACGGACGTTCGTCCCATGACTTTCGGACGCGACTCTGCAGAAACGGGCCCATCTCTCTTAGAAACAAAAAAAATAATAAATTCCCACTCCCTCATCGGCTTATCGGTCCGGTGTCCAAAGTAGCGTGGCCACTCATCTGTCCACCCCCTTCCCCCACCGCGTGTTCGTCAGGCTGTCGCGTCATGCCCTTTCGGCCTTCCGCCCATCGTCGGTCGCGCCGCGCACCCGTCCCAGTCGCCTGCGCCGCTCGCTACCTCGTTACCCGTCGGTCCCTTATCGTCGTCGGACGTGTCGCTGACCCTGCCATGGCCGCTGAGGCGCACGTGTCGTGGCGCCTTAGGTCTCTCCGGCCGAGCCAAGGACATCCATGAGCGTGACCGGTGCTGGTGGTGCTCGCGCATCGTGGCTCACCACCCGCTCCCACCCAGTGGCGGGCCCAGTGGGTAGTCCAGATAGGCCCAGAACTACCCACAAATTTGACCCAAAATTCTATTACTACTCTACAGAAACCAAGAACACGACAGAATAAAGGAGTGAACTGTGAACGAGCGAACCATGTGCCGATGTCTCTCTCTTAACTTTGCGGTGCGGCCCGTATGCTGCCTTGCGTGGGAGAAGTTGGGCCACAGGCCGCTGGGCCTTGTTGGGCCATCGAGTGGGGAGGGAGAAAATCTGCAGAAGGAACCGCAGAAGAATGCGTGTATTTGGACTGAATTCTTACTGCAAAATTTGTTGTGCACAAGGATACTACTGTATTTTTTTACACCTGAAAAATGTTGTTGGGGCAAAAGCTTCTGCCTGCATGATTGCATATGATGCGTGGTGCTTATATTTGTATTGTGCTGATCCTTCAATTATGAATGACGCATCTGCAATTGTAGTTTTTTTTTGTAAGACCTTATCTTATGTATGATCTATTTGAGTAAGTTTCGGACCTATTTATGTAAGTTTCGAACCTTTTAAATGTATTATCGCAATTTGGTTAATTTATAGCTATGTTTGCCGAACTTTTTGTTTAGATTTTATAGTATTACACATGACATTTTTTTACTAGGACTACCCTGGTCTCAGATCCTGGGTCCGCCACTGCTCCCACCCCCGATGGCCGGAATCGACCGGCTCGGCCTTCCCTCCACTATGTTGCACATGTATGTTTCAAGTGTTTTAAACGTTTCAGACGTATGTTACAATTGTTTCATCTTAATGTTGCAAAAGTAGATCGTGGGATATTGCACATGTTGCGTATGTTGCAAGTGTTTTAGAGACATGTTGCAAGCGTTTGTCCAAAATGTTTCATCTGTTTCTAGACATATGTTGCAATTGTTTTTCTAGATGTTGCATATGTTTCACACATATGTTGCAACAATATATATGTTCCAAATGTTTCAGCTGTTTCAGTCTTATGTTGCAGCAAGTGGTTTCATATTGCAAGTGTTTTATTTGGATGTTTCATGTGTTTCACACACATGCTGCAAGTGCATGTTCCAAATGTTTCATCTATTTTTAGTCTTATGTTGCATTCATGTTGCAAGTATTTTACGTTGTTCAGCCAGGGGCGAGTCAGGGCCTTGCGGATGGGGCGTGCGACGCCTAGAGGGCCGACGGACGGGGGCGCTGGGGGCGAGCGAACTAGGGTGCTGCGGGTCGGGGCGCGCTGGGGGCATGCTTGTCCTTAGCTGCTCATCTCGGCTCTTGAGTGTCGCCCGTGTGGAGAGTCAGAGAGAGAGAGGAGGGGATCAGGGGAAGGACCGGCGGGCGTAGAGACGGGGCGGAGTGCACTCGTGGGGCGGGGCGAGAGAGAGAGGAGGGGGGTCAGGGGCATCCAGACGCGTGCATCCATCCGGACGTCTAGGCACTAGCCACGCCCCCCAAAAAAGAAGTCGTTGAGACCACCACCACACAAAAGCCCCCATCATCAATCGCCGCCATCAAGTGACTCATATGCACTTTCAATTCTAAGTACAATAATTCAATCGATTTTGTCCAATTGGTTCATGAATCGTGTTCTTCCTTTTTCCTTAAATTCTGAATTCTAATGACTCTCTTCATGTATTCTTATAGATTCTCTCCTACATGGAACCTATTGAAAATAAGGAACAAGGTTGTTCAACAACATTTAGAAACTCAACAAACCCGATCAATGAAGGTAAATAAAAACAATCAAATGTATATATGGATGCTTTGGAATATAATGTAAATGGTGCTAATTAGGTGCTAATCAATTATGTTTTTTATCTATTAAAAAATGAGGTGGCCAAAGTGAATCTAATTTACTTACACAAGTCTTCGATCCTAAGGAACGTAAAAGGCAAAGAGATCGAGCGTGGCGTGCGGCTATGACTAAAGAGCAACGGAATGAAATTAATATAAATAGTAGGAAGCGACGTGCAACAATGACCAAAGACCATTGTAATGAAGTTAATAGGAAGCGTCGTGACGCGTATCATCAAAGAAAGGCCGAATCTATGCTCCCTAAAGTATCCAAGGTAACATTACATAGACTACTAAATTGTGATACCTGCAATGCCCTTCGTTATAATAATATTCAATAATTTGTCCATACAACTACACATTCTTAATAATTAGTGCAACAATAATAGGGGGAATGCAACCACTATATACAACAAATAGCGTGGACACTATGCACAACCTTTGCTTTTACTAGCGCTACTATTCCTGTTGATAAACATGGTGAACAAAAAGATTCAAAAAGCCAATACTTTAGAGAATTAATTATGAAGATGACACAAGAAGAGAGGGAGGCTAGACGTGAACATCAACGCCTGAGTTATAGAACCCCAGGGCGAAAGGAGGCCATCAAAGCAGGGTAGAGAAGACGAAAGGAAGCGCATAAGCACACTCTATACCCTGAGTCCATCGCTATGGAGAACCCAATGTATATTCCTTAGGTTGTGTGGCCAACCACGGAAGTAGTTAGGCCTCATGGAGCCACAGTAAACCCCAACTATTGGGATATCCCAAAGTCTAGTGCAACACCTCTTTATATCCCATCAGATTAAGAGGATATATAAGGACGAAGATGATTGCGATGATATACTACCTAGCCATATGATATGACGCATAGGAGATGTGTTCCATCTAGAGCAAGGCATGCATTGTTAACCCGTCACAACACGTTGTTTAAGTGTTGCTTTGGTGGGAACGCAAGAGTGATACCTAATGATAATGAATTCATGGATAAAGACCATGCCGATGATAACACACCCTTACTTGAGTAAGCCGTGACCAACAATGGTAAATAATGAGGCCATACTACTCTGTTTCATTCACCTAATACCATGTTATTCCCATCTCAACCATGTCCATTATATGATTTACAGAAAGCGTTGGACCAAGCATTGAGTTTGCATCAGTAATACCGACACAACAAGTATTGGATGACACTGGTAATTAATTTACAATATTTTTAGCACTCTAGACTATTTGATCCCATTTATTTATTGTTACCCATAGTTGTACTAACTCACGTATTTGCAATGGTCATAGATGATGACGAGGGATACTTTTTTGTTGGGCAACTTCCAAATATTTCACGTGTTTATCTAAACTGTTGTGTGTATTAAACATCCGAGGAAGATGATGACGATGTCCAAAACAATGATCGTGAGGAAGATACGGATTCTATCCCCGAAGTACCTGACACACTGGTTGTTTGAAAATTGTTTGGAACACTTTTGTAAACGGACCGTGATTAACCATGGTGTCTTCTGCAAATACTATTCCCATGACAGCGTCAAGGTCACTTTGCCGCTCAGAGTTCACATGGCGATGGACAAGGTCCTCGTGTTCGTCAATGGAGAATCAGTATCCAGTGTTCTGTATCAGCCTTCCATTCCATGACTCCATGAGAAACCGCGAGCACAGGCCATTTAATTAGCTGCAAAGACGAACCCATATCAAAGCGGTATTGGAAAGATCAAACCCCCGAGACACCATGAAGTGAAGGCCATGCAGCAAGCCAAGTTGCAATAACACGGCATAATTTTCTCAGTTGTTTTTCTTTTTCGGTATACAGGCAACACAGCACGATACTATTAGTCTGCTACACCAGAACCTGAAGAGAGGGTTAAAAAGAACCAACCAACATACTGATCTACTGACCTACCTACCATTTGGGTGGCTTGCTTTCACCCTTAATATGTACACTTACACTGAGATCCAGCACTTCCTATAGGAACAAAATATTGCCACCTGAATTTGGCGGCGAGCTGACACGATACATACACATGCATCAGGGACCCTAGGAAGTCTCTCTGCTTCATTCAGCAAAAACTTTGGGCTTCCGGACCCTTTGACTCCTCCTGCCATCTACAGCCACCAGAACAGCCTTCTCAACCAGCAGCTTTGAGGGGGCGCTCGCAGCAGTCTCTTCCTTCTTCGCTTTGGAGGATGAGTTCTCAGTCGCCTGCTTTTTCGCTGAGGACGCACTTTCAGCCTCCTGCTTATTTGCAGCTGCAGACGAGCTTACAGTTTCCTGCTGCTTCACTGCTGAGGATCCCTTCCCAGTTTTCTGCTCCTTCGATGCTGAGGTCGAGTTCCCAGGTCCATGCTCCTTTCTAGCTGTGGATGAGGTTTCAGTGTTCTGCTTCTTCGCTGCTGAGGATGGCTTCCCAGTTTTCTGCTCCATCGATGCTGAGGACTTGTTCCCAGATCCATGCTTCTTTGCAGCTGTGGACGAGGTTTCAGTTTTCTGCTTCTTCACTGCTGAGAAAAGCTTCCCAATCGTCTGCTCCATCGATGCTGAGGATGAGTTCCCAGATCCATGCTTCTTTGCAGCAGTGGACGACTTTTCAGTTTTCTGCTTCTTCACTGCTGAGGATGGCTTCCAAGTTTTCTGCTCCATCGATGCTGAGAACGAGTTCCCAGATCCATGCTCCTCTGCGTTTGCAGGTTCATTTACAGATTTGCGCTTCTTTCCAGCAGAGCAGGTTGTCATGGTTTCAGGCCCTGTTGCAGCAGAGCGTGTGCCCTCGGTTTTCTGCTTTGCTACAGCAGAAGGCGTGCTCTCAGTTTGGGTACTTGCAGCTGACAGCGTGCCCGTGCCCTCAGTTTTCTCCTTTGCAGCAGGTGTTTCGGATGCCTCTTTCCTCTTCATTGCTGAGGATGGCTTCCCAGTTTTCTGCTCTGTCGATGCAGAGAATGAGTTCCCAGATCCACGCTCCTTTGCATCTGCAGGTTCATTTACAGATTTGAGCTTCTTTCCAGCAGAGCGAGCTGTCATGGTTTGCAGCCCTGTTGCAGCAGAGCGTGTGCCTCGTTTTTTCTGCTTTGCTACAGCAGAGGGCGTGCTCTCAGTCCGGTATTTGCAGCTGACAGCCTGCCCTCAGTTTTCTCCTTTGCAGCAACTGTTTTGGACGCCTCTTTCCTCTGCTTCTTCCTGGTAAACAAAGAGCCTTTCTTCCTCCTCTTTTTCTTAGAGTTCGGTTCCTGTTTGCTCCCAGAAGAGCCAGGCTCCTTTGAGGGTGACTTTTCAACAGATGATTCTTGCCCCGCTGCTAGGGCACAAGTGGTATCTACTTCCACTGGAGCACAAGTGCTATCAACTTTTACTGGAGCACAAGTGTTCTTCACTTCCACTGGAGCAGAAACGTTCTGTTCTTTGGAAGAAGTTCCAGAAGGCAGATGCTTGGCCTTGTCAAACTGCTGACAGACATCACTGGTTGCTTGATTGTCTATGAGGATATCGTCAGCGTTCTGCAAAAAAGAAACAGTCAAGTAAATGCCAGTGCAAATGTATTGCCCAAAAAGCTAACACGTTAACCATTTTCTGGGAAGTGGTTCAAAATCAGTGAAATGGTCAATATGGCATAACCACAGATCCACAAGTATCACTAAGCTTCCAAAACTGTTATATATAGAAACATAACATACTAAATTACTAATATTTGTTAGTTTGCACAACAAAGTTAAAAATGAATTGCTTTGTCACGTTGCCATCCTCAGGCCTTCAATTTTATAACCTGCAAATTTCACTAGGGATATCTTCTACCAATGCACACCCTAGGTAGTGAATTCTGGATGGACCTGATTTACAAACAACCCAACATCCTAATAAATTCTAAACCCCATACCTCATATCCAAGATATAATCATATAACTACAAATTCTAAGTTCTTGTGGGGAAACAGAATCTCTTTATATTTTTTTAAAGAAAAAACAGCATATGTTTACATGGGTATTACACTTTTTAATTTAAACATAGACAAGTAAAGGAACTATCCCTACAATATTTTTCAGAGTATAATGTTTGACTATTTTCTCTAGAAATAGTAAATGGGGACTTTATAAATCAAAGCCTATTGTGCTTATGAGGATTTAAATTCCAACGCTTGAGTAGCAACTCTGAGAGCATCAACCCAAATCCAAACAAGCACTAAATAATTAAAGGAATAAGAATAAGCAAAGGATCAAAGACTTACTTCTTTGCATAAATCCTCTATATAACCATTTGGTATGTAATTGCCAATACCCAAGAGAAGGTCCATTGTTATGGCTTTCTCCCTCAAGTGTTTGCCCTCTCCACTTCTTTCTTCAGCAATCCTATCTGCATCTTTTATAGGAGTATCGGTTTCCCTGTCAGGCAAAGGTCTCCCTGAAAGAGCTGGTCCACTATCATCCTTGAGCAAAACATTTAGATTCTTCTTTTTCTGTGGTTTAGTATATCTACATTCTGTATAAGATGAGCGCTTTTGAGTATGCTGTCTCTTCGGAGCCACCCTGACATGAGTATTGCCCTCAGAAAATGCCAAATTTCTTCCTTCATAATGAGCCTTGCTGAGACGACCTCGAAGCAGATGAACTCGAGACTGAACCCCATCAATCGTCAAGAGAATATCCTTTAAAGAGAGTTGCTCAAAAATCACATCATAATCCTCGGAATCAAGCAATGTAACACTGTCAGGTCCGCCTCGGATAGGAACTGTATTTAGAATGAATCAAATACATAGATAGTTCTTGCATGACTATTAGCTAGGCAGAGAATAAAGATGAATTGGAGTTTCTGCATGGTCAATTTAACTAAACCTCAACTAGCTATGTATGTTCTTCATTGATCTACCCAAAAATAGGAATGCTACCATAAGATCAAATAAAATCATAAGGATCCGAACACATTATATCATACAGCTATACAAATTAGTTCCTCTCAAATTATGTAGGGTATGTATGTTTATGGAAAATTCAAACTTTGTATAATTTGACTTACGCTCAGTCAAATTATATGGGCACAAACTATACAGCTACATCCATATTTCAAAGTGCTTTCACACTATATTCGTTTTATAGCTGTGAAGTGTAACCACTACTACTATATTGTGAAACAGAAAATAATGGTCAAAGTTTAATTTTGATATAAAAAAGCCTAGTTTTGAACACTGTGCTAAAATAAAATACACCCTATATACTTGGTTGGAGAGAATATTTGCTCAGATACTTAAGAACTAAACCTTGACCAAGTACACGTAAGCAAGATTGTCACCTGAAATGACATTAGTAGATTTGCCAAGTGATGTGTTTTCAAGCAATTACAATTTTGATATTTTTACTAACATATACTAATAAAGCAAAATATCAAAGGTGTGTGCTGGAGACTGGTATAGTCCAATGAAAACTAAAACAACGGAATGGAGTGTATAGTAAGAATTAAGAACTCTGTGGAACCGAAGTCATATTAGACATCTCAGAATTCTTTGATAGTGTTCATATGGTTAAAGACTTGGTGACTAATTAATTGTTGACCTTCAATTAAAACACAAGCATATGCCTCAGCTAAAACATAAACACATTCCTAACAAGAGCAAGCTTTTTCTCACAACTGGGTCAACTTCTAATTCAATCTAATGGTGTAACTTTGCTCAATACCGTTGATAGGATTAGGGATCCTACGGGAGTTGCTACGGAGGTTGTAGGGATGGAAGAGCGGAGGGCGAGGCTTAGGCAAGCGACGGCGGCGAGTCGGCGCCATGGTGATCACCGCGCCAAGGAGGAAGAGAGGGCGCGGCTAGGGCTTCAGGGAAGCCGAGCAACTAAATTGTTGCCTTGCTTAATTCTCTCCAATCAATGTTTACAGATATTTATCCTCCTAGCTTCCATCTATAAGATCCTATATTTAAGGACTAAATTATATCTGAGGAAATAAATAAAATAGCTAATTCTGGGCAATTAGCCCCTAACAGATGACGCCTGGGCTGCTAGCCCCTAACAGATGGCGCCATTAGCCACTAATGGGCCGGCACCTAGAGTATTGGACGCCGGTCATAACAACCGTGCTTTCCATTTTAACTTCACTGAAAAAATTGACCAGATAGGCACATTCATACCTGTACTACCACAATCGTCATCAATTAAGAGACCATCAGTTTCAGCTCCCTTATTTTGTTTATCTGCAAAATACTGAAAGAATTATTGTCGTTGACAACAAAACCCGGTGCAGAATTGACATGGCCATGGATAAATAGATGCCCTATCCCTACACAAAAGAAGACGACATAACTGGATGTCAGACCATGGTAGTATGACAATATTTGGTGCTTGTTGATGTACAAAGGAGTATCCAAATTTTCTTCATGCCTCTTCCGCTTTGTCCTCTTCATGATACTGTTTCCATGACCTTTGTGAATCTGCATAGATTCTGACATAGAACCATTTGGTTTGCTTGCTGCTTGTAATTCTTTTTGTTTCTTGTTTAGAGCAAGCTCCCTGTCATACTTTGATACTTGAGATGAGAGATCCCTCATACGCAACTCTAACCACTCGCATCTCCACAGAATTGGACGAACATAATTCCTCCACTCAGCCGTCACCTTTTTCCTTATGAAGAGTAATCACATATCACAAAATTTGCATAAAAATGAAGGATATCAGAATAAAACATTACAACAAAATGTAATAAGAATATAGAAAGTAGCTGCTTGCTCCAATTATATTCTAGGCTCTAGCTATACCCACAAAATGATACGTAAGCTAACACTCTGAAGCACTGATAAGAGTAGCACAGGTTTCCTTGTTCATGGCTAGTTGGCTACACATCATAGTTTAAAGCATGAATATCAGAAATAAAAACCATACTCTCAAAGAAAGGCAATAAGCATGAAAATATACGATGTCTCCCAACACGGACAAAAATGAACCTATAATGGTCTACAGCATTAAACATAAATATCATCAATGCTGGTGTGGGTTCAAATCCCAGGCTAGGAATTTCTTTTGCAAATTCGGACTGTCATGCTTAAAATATAGAGTAGCATTTAGTAAAACACCTAGGTGAACTTTTCCAAAAAGAAACAAGGGCAATACTAACCCCCAAGGACTTTCTCTCTAACCAGAAGGATACTGATACTTTGTGTCAATATTTAGTATTTTCGTCCACTACACGATTGACAGATTATCATGGAATCAATCTACCAGATTGTTTTAACCAAAGTCCTGGTGGAAAAACCAACATGATAAATTTACAATACTTTTGAAGAAGCTATCATCTGCTTAATTGTCTTTTTAATTAGCGACTTGACAAATAGAAGACCATACGAGTATCCGGTAATTGCTTTTTCGGATCGTGTTAGTCATAGTCATAAGTGGTGTGGCATTTCTTAGGACAGAACACATAACTTCCTGGCCGTTGACACCTGCTTCTATCGTGATTAGAAGAATTGGGTAGAAATCATACCTGGCATTTAATCTAGGTGCTACTATCACCTGCTAAGTTTCGTATATAAATAAATGATGACTGAAACGTGGCCCAGAAAAGGAAAATTTCAGCAAGAAGGTACTAATTAATTAATAAGCATACAAGACTCTGCATTATGTTACTGAATAATTAGTAATTTGTTTCTGTTTCAGATACACTGATGGTCCTACTTTTCTTGTTACTTCCGAAGACAGGAAGGTGCACCAATTACAACATAGTATAACAGTTGAAATCCCACTACAACCTTCCATCTTATCACAGGAGCGCGGGAGCGGGAAAACTAAACACTGTAATTCTAAATGCGAAGCATGTCTCCATCTCTTATTGGTGAAAGTGAAACTGAATATATGAAATTCAGCAGAGCTCACATAAGCGCCTAACTGCCTAGTGCTCTAGCATAATCTTACAGCCATTCATTTTTCCACGAACCATGAGCGCACGCACAATAATGAGACCAATAGCACCAGGGCACACGACGAGCTGACAGAACACTCACCTAGGCGGCTTCCAGGGCCTGCTACCATTGGCATGAGCAGACATGCCAGAATTCACTTCTGGTTCACCATCGCCTGGTGCATCTTGAACTCCAGAGCAGGTGTCACCAAACGAGCTCGAGCATTCGGTGGTATCACCTCCCACGTCTTCCACAGGTTCAGGATCGACCACCGGAGGGTCAGTGGTCGTGCGGACAGCCTCAGATTTCACCACCACCATGGTGCTCTGGTTCCTGGCTCCACCGCCAGCACCCTCGTGGTCAACATCCATGGCCGCTGGAGCGGGAGCCATGGCTCGCAACTGATGCGTCAGGGGTCCTCCGGCGCCACAAGAAAACTACAGAAATTCGCCCCAATCCTCCTCCACAAGACCCTGCGGACGGACGGACAGATGAATTTTGAGCAAAGAAACAAAAATCTGTCGCACAGAACCCACGGATTCGTGAGAGAAACCGCTAGAACGGGAGGATTCCTACCAATACCACAACCAAAGCAGAACAATCCCCAACCACCAGTGGGGCAAGGGCTTACCGCGGAGCGTCAGATGGAGAATCAGGCATCAGCCCGGGCGGATCTCCATGGCGGAGGAGAAGATTGGTGGGGAGTCGGGATTGGGACACGGTAGCTCGGCCCGTGGACTTGGCCTCAGACGCGCGGGCGACGGCGACGGCGACGACGAGGGTTAGGGGAGGAAGCATCCATGGATTTGGGCTCCGCTGGTTGTGACGGCGGCGGCGGCGAGGGCTCGGGCCTGCGCTGGGAAACGAGTGCGGTGGGTCTTTGCGCTTCCGGCCGGCACGGAAGGTGGCAGTGGGCAGTGGCGGCGGCCGTCGGCGTCGGCCGGCAGCGTAAAGGGCCGGAGGTGGAGCCGACGAAACCAAGGAGCAAATGAGGAACGGATGCAGGTTTTACCTCTGGTAAGAAGATAAAGTCAAAAACTAAACTCAAGTGGTTAACGAACCAACAACATTTTTTTTCAATCTATCTTCGAAATTAGCATAATCTAACGACTCAATCCGAAGTTTAAAAACATTCAAATTCAACTCATTTTTATTTTATTAATAAAAAAAACAAATTCAATCAAAACAGTTTTAACACAAACTGCTGAGCTAGCTCAAAGAGCTTTCTATGTAGCCTTAATTAGGTTATTAGTGGTCTGCCACACTACCAAGAAAATTATATTTTTTTTGACGGCATAGCTTCATTTCAGCTGCCAAGGTAATTCTGATGTGGGGCGAAGGTAATTCTGATTTGGGGTAATTGCTCGGTTACCCGTATGGACACAATGACGTTACTTTCCATAAAACGTTTCTACGTGGTTACTCGTTGATACGGAACCTAATTTTATCTTTGAAAGCTTATCCTCAAAAATCAGAACCTGTATTAAAAAACAAAAGGTAGTCATGAGCGGCGAACCAGAGCATATAATATATAATATTAATTAATCCCTCAACTACGAAATATTGTTCACACGGTATTGTCCACTCACTATTCTACACTATTCACGTTTTTGTTTGGCACTATTTAGCGTTGTTCATTCATAATCCAACCACGAAGAAACTGGAGGCCATCTGTCACTATTCGATACTGTTCACACGGTACTATCCACTCACAATTCGGCATTGTTCACGTTATTCAGTCTGTTTGGTTGGCTGGTTCGTATTGTTGCTGGTTCGTGAAGAAGTATTGCTGGCTGGTTTATATGAGAGAAAAATATTATTCCGACTGAAAATTTACGATTGTTTGCGACAAGCCACGACCAAACGAACAGGTTTATTATTGTTTGATACTGTTTAGTGTTGTTCATAATCGTTGTGGGCCTTCGTTTTATTTATTTTTTGTACTGTTCACCACGCGCTGCTTCCTAAGGCCGCGCAGCGTAGTGCGCGTGTTTAGGCTAGTGTATCTTTAATGTAGGATTTGGTTGTTTTTTTTTACTACAACGTAGGATTTGGTTGAAAGGACAAAGATAAATTGAATGGAGCAATCCCATTTACAAGCTGTTTGGTTCACTCACAGCTAAGGGGAACAAATTACGGGGGCTCTTCGAGCGAAGCGAAGCGGCGGCACCGTAATGGGATAGGACTCGGGGAGATGATGTGTCGGTGGATGAATAGATCCGTATCTGATTACCTCGTTACGTGTGGGTTCGAACGAAACAATTGTATCGCTATTCGACGCAACTAGGGTCCGGACGTCCTGGGCGAGCACGTGTTCGAGACGCCTCTTGGGACCATCCGATTGAGATAACAGGAGTCGTCTAAATCTCATTGAATAAAACAACAACGGAAAATAAAGCGGACCTATCCGATGCAATAGAACGAGAGCGCCCCACGTGCGGCCCGTCTCCCGTCGTGCCTCGTCGCATAGCCATCCCTCGCCACGCCGTTGTGCCACGTCGCATCGCTATCCCCCGCCGTGCCGCCATCCCCTGCGTGCCCGTTGCCCTCCGCACCCTATCCCCACCGTGCTCCATCACCCAAATGTCCAATGAGAAATTTTTCATCGGAAGATCTGTTGCAACACGGAGCAATGCGAGATGCACATCAGAAGTATTACTTGTTTACAACATCAGAACAAGTCTACTGCAATATCAGAACAAGGCTACTGCAACAACAGAACAAAGCTACTGAAATGCGAGATGTAATATTAGCAAAAAAGAGACTAATGCAACGAAGAAATATTACTTGTTGTAACATTAGAACAAAGGCTACTGCAACAACAGAACAAAGCGCAATGCGAGAAAGCAACATCAGTCAAACTTTGACTTGCACAGATTTTTTAGGAGCAGCAGCTAGTGAGCTTATTCGTTGGTTGGTTTCTGGGCTCATAAGTCCAGTTGGTGCCGATTTATTGTGAAAGAAAAATACTGTTGGCTGACTGATAAATCCTGACTGAAACCAACAAACGAACACGCTGAATAGATACCATCCAAACAAGCTAAGTATTAAACGACAAATAATCAAAGCGCGCTCCTAGCGTTACAAAAAGCTATTGCTCGCGCATAGCAGCTGTCAATCTGTGCGGGCCATGCACCATGTTCTACCATGTATATAAGGGTGAGGTGAGGCCAGGAATTTCTCCTCATCGTTCAAGTCCATTCCTCGTTGCTCATTTTCGGCCTTTGACTTGCTTTGGGATCAATAGCATGATGATGATGACCATGTTCTCGTGCGCTAGTGCTTTTTGGCCCCCTAGCAACATGTAAGTACTCCTTTGTATTGTTTAATTTAATTTGTATATATATTTGAGGGGAAATATGATGGTGAGCATGTTGTTGTTGCCTATTTTTTTTTTTTCAATTTGACCCTTTTTCGAAGAAAATTTATGTTTGGCCCCCTGTGAGACTTAAACTCATCTTTGGACCCTGGGGGTCGGCGCCATGAGTCATGGTGCCGAGGTAACACGTCTCGGCGCCACAGATCTTGGCTCTAAGGTGTCTGGCTGTGCACAACAGGGATCCTACGTGGCGTTGACGTGGTCGGTATCTCGACGCCAGAATACATGGCGCCGAGCTCGGCGCTAGAGATCTTGACGCCGAGCATGCATTTAAAGCGTGCGCCAGTACCTAGCCTCACTGTATATCTCCATCCACTGATGGTGTGCGCTACTACTAGCCTACTACTGTACTCCTACCACTAGTAGCAGGAGTAGCAGAGCGCGTGAGGCGCGGGGGGGGGGGAGGAGGGCAGCAGCTGGAGACAGCGGCGTAAATGCTGGCATCTACGCGCACACAACTATTGGTAGCAGGAGTAGCAGAGCGCGTTTAGGTTCCTCGTCTCAACTGTTAAACCCCACCACCCCATCCCAATAATTTAAGTTCCAAGAATGATGGTGTCGGGTTTACAAACTCAGGGTCCCTCGAGGACCGGCTTCCACGCCAGGGCTCAGCCCAGGAAAACAGCATGTTGTTCGTGGGCCGGCCCGAAGGTCTAAAAATACGACGGGACGGAAGGACAGTCGATCGCCGACCGAAAGGTCTGCCCGAAAGAACGAACTCCCGCTCATCAACTTCTTTCGCCCACCTCCGACCGGAGCGCTCGCCTCGGGCGCCAGCCGCCTCTGGGCGGTCTCTCCGATCGGAAGGCCTGGCCCAAAACGCTGCTTCCTACTCCGACCCGCGACTCCGACCGGGGACCCGTAGGAAGCCTGCTTACCGCTCTTCTCCGACCGGCGCGGCCAGGACCGGCTGGGGCCATCCGACCGGGGGCGCCCGCTTGGAAGGGACCAGGGGCGAACGGAGAAGACGGCACACAAAGTCAAAACCACGATACCGGGACCATACCCTACACGCCTGCGGGAACAGTGCTCCTCAACCACCCTGACACAAACAGTATTGTAGGCGCCGACATTTGTGTCTACAGTATTGTAGGCGTCATTGGGCTCCCATACGGCAAAAAGCCCCCACATACCTCTGGGCATCGGCAGTGGGCGCCAGGGTTCGCCATACCTGGTACATGTGGTGGGGCTCCTCACCTACCAATAGTATTTTACAGGTACCGACGTCCATCCTTCCTGAAGAAGCCAACGCAACCTCCCATGTGCACCTGACATTCTACAGTGACGTCAACAGTTTTGTGGGTGTCTACCATCGGCTGTCCTCATCGCCGTGGGCAACAAGGCTTAGTAACATCCGTACTCTCCTTCTCACCTGTAAAGCCATCCCCTTCATCTATAAAACGGGATACGCTCCCTCCAACAAAGGGGATCGATTTTCCAGAGGACCACTTCTTCAAGTTCAGACTCACTAGATCGATAGCCCAAAAACCCCTCAAGCACATGCTTGAACACCTAGCTCATAGCGGAGTTCCGGTCGCCCTCGGCCCTTCCGGTCGGACCCGACCGGGCCTCTCGTACACCCCTCCTTTCTCCTTCTCGTTTGTAACCCCACTACAGACTTCGAGCACATAGACTTAGGAATAAAGTCACCGACCGACCCACACTGGACGTAGGGCACGTTGCCTGAACCAGTATAAACCCTGTGTCATTGAGTGCTATGCCACCTCCGATCACAACGTACAGCAAAACTACAAATATTCACTAGTTGCTCACTTTCTGTACCGACAGATGGGGTATGTTTTTAGAAGGTGTACACATACATGATATGCACTGCAGGCTCCTTTTTATATGTACAATCCCATATATAGTTGTTTTAGGAAGTAGGAATCGGAGAACAGAAGGCGTTGATACATAATTTTATTTTTCTCTCGTAATGTTCTTTTTATTTTGTACTTTCAAGCAACTCTTATATTTTAGCATTTTTCCATGGTAGCTGTCCATACACCTGCATTG